CACACATGAACACATGCCTCCAGTGACACACAGAGACACACATGAACACACGCCTCCAGTGACACACAGAGACACACATGAACACACGCCTCCAGTGACACACAGAGACAAATACACACACACACACACACACATAAACACACACACACAGGTTTGTAATTATATCTTTGTGGGGACTCTCCATTCATTTCTCTGAGGAAAACTCTAATCCCAACATTACGGCCTTAACCCCTACCCAGTCCTAACCTTACTCATAAATAACCAAACAAAATACAAGATTTTTGGCATTTTTAGTTTTTTGATTGCATTCACAGATCTTTGTGAAATATGGTCCCTAAAACGTCAAAATAACAGGTTTTTGTCACATTGTGGGGTACGTTTGGTCCCCACAATGTAATTTAAACATAATCCAAACACACACATGCAGGGGTGGGAATACTGAACCCTGAAGGTCACAGAGTCACCCTGTACCCCTGTGCAGACATAATGTAAATATCATGTGTAAATATTACAGGCAATGGAAAATACAGACAGATCTGGAGTTAAGCCCTACTAGATATTGCCCTTCAACCATGACTTCATGTGACCTGCACCTCCAGAGACCTCTTTAATAGATTGGCCTGGCGATCTTCCTCGGTATCACAGCAATGACAGGAATACTGCAGATATCCCAGTAACCATGGTGACCTGAGAGATACTTATAATGACTATTTACAATGAAGGATCATGCTGTATTCATCCCCATCGGGAATCGTCTTTTCGTCTACCCCTCCAGGAGACACACAGATACAGCATTCCAAGGATTACAAGACTTTCTGTGAACACTGTACCATCAAAATCCAGGAGACCTCTATAGCGGGTGATCTTGAGAAAATGGCACAGTCCTACAACGCTGTGACTGGACATGCACCAGAGCAATCACAAACATGTGTTATGTCCACCATGACGATTTCAAGCTTAATCAATACCACAATCATAAAGCCATAATAAAAGAAAAGGCACTTCCAAAGATTTGGAATCACCAAAAGGTGATACACAGCCTAACAGGGACAACCAAAGTAGGATGTGGCAAGGAATGTTCCAGAAGCTGGGTGGTTTGGTCAGGGTCTAAGCAATGATCTTCGAGTAATCAAACTAGCATCAGTGTATTACCACCAGAGAAGAAAGGCTGCAAAACCGGGAGCAGGTGACCATTCAGGGCAGCACCCTCGCCAACAAGCAGGCTCAGGCCAAGTGCTCTGCTCCATGCAAGACAACCTGACTTAAGTATCTAGGTTTGTGACAGTCATGACTATCGCCAGTAAAAAACAGCCTTAAATCATGAACTCCCAGACACTGGTGATGATAATGCTGCTATTTGTCTGGTGTGGATTTTGACTGCGAACATGAATTAGTCCTTGAAAAACCAACCAGTGCGTCTGCTGCACCCCAAACGTGCCAAACTCTGAGTAAAACTTCATTTTAAATCCCTTCTGCCCCGATTTGAATTCTTCATAAATCCTGCATCAGCACCAGAACTCCAGCTACAGTCAAGTTGAGTGGTCTGAGGGCAGGTTGAAGCGTCTCTCAATGGAGCCAAATGCAGCAAATATCTCCTCCATTACTTACACATTGCCTCTTCGTGGAAGACTCAACTCCTTCTGGAATAAAAAGGAAACATTATCCACATTAATACTGTCATAAATCATAATATTATACATTCTGTACATGTATGTGTGTCTGTGTGTGTGTCTGTGCGTGTGTGTGTGTCTGTATCTCATTGTGTGTGTGTCTGTACCTCGGTGTGTGTGTGTGTCTGTATCTCGGTGAGTGTGTGTGTCTATATCTTGGTGTGTGTGTCTGTATCTCAGTGTGTGTGTGTCTATATCTCGGTGTGTGTGTGTGTCTATATCTTGGTGTGTGTGTCTGTATCTCAGTGTGTGTGTGTCTGTATCTCGGTGTGTGTGTGTCTGTGTGTATGCGGCTTATATCCTGAATAAATACACCCACAGCTAATTGAGAAATCCTGCTTCGTGGAACACCCACCAGGTTCCGGAAACCATCTGCATAATTTTATGCACTGTGCTGCATATGATTGGCTGATTAAACAATTGCTTCAATGAACAGCTGAACAGGTGTACCCAATAAAGTGACAAGTGAGTGTATATTCTAAATTATAAACCATGTAAAATAATCTGCAATGTTTAAAGGTTGGGGATTGTATTGTACAACCAATACCTAAAGTATCCAGCAGATGGCAATAAAGTCATAAAAGTGAAACAAAGCACATGCTAGACTGTAATGTTTTAGTGCACAGCAGTAAAGTTTATTAAACTATGATGTATTGCCCAGGTTCTCGAATAACACTGACTGAATAATGTTAATCAATGTCATGCTGGGTTTACAAGAGTGTCTTTCACTTCTGATAATAGTGATAAACAAGGTCAACAAAGAACATATTTAAAAAAATATGTATTTATCCTCTATGCATTCCCTAGCCAGCCAAATTTTAAATGATAAATTTTACTGTTATATATGCAATAATATATTCAATAATCTTAGATTTATTATGCTCCTTATGTCCAACCATGTAAATGTCTCACTTTAATTTCATTCCAACCCAAAT